CAAAAGTAAAGCAAAACGGCTATCGGGGAGACTTCGCGGCCGTTTGGGCCCGAAAAGGGATCGACACTAAACTGTACGACCGATTGGACAAGAATTGGGTGAACAAAGAGAAGTACGGCTTGTCTTTGATGGCACCGCCTTTGCCTGAATTGGGCTCTCAAGTGGAGGCCAACGCCGAGCGGTTGCGAAAGTACGAGACATTCATGCGCTCAGATCACGCCTCCTTCTGGTACCCGACCCAACACGACATGACATTCCCAGCGATTCTCATCACAGACTTGGGTCCGTGGAGGAAGAATATGCGCCACAACTATCACCGCTCCACTGATGACACCAGAAATCTTAGCGATGAGAACCTCATGTTTGTCAAAAACACTATCGACAGTGTCTTTAACACCATTTTAGACTACAGTAAAGGCAAATGTCTTAAATCATAAATTATTTGCATAAATAACTTAATAAAAGTGTAATTATTTTTTTCTAATTTTTATTTAATAACGAATTTTTACTTTTAATATTTAAAACTAAATAATTTAATCAAATATCAGTACAGTATAAATGACTAAAACAAGTGTTCAAAGAAAATAAGTGACAATTAATACAAAATGAATTCACTAGTAAAGAGATGACAGAAAGTTAAGACCTAAAGCTCTGGTTTATGTATTGCAATCAGATCTCCATTTCTATCATAAGTAGTCAATGGTTTGGACGACATGTGAGCGATATATTGAATCAATTGTCGGACACTTCTCTCTCCGGTGTAGACTTGCGGCTCAAGTTTGTTCAGAGATGACAACCAATAGATTGTTGGATATCTGTGTGTTTTGTATGGCTTGGGCGACCAGTTCTTCGTCGCTTCCATCTGCAGAATGTCTACATTGAGTTTATTTGTCATCTCTTTGGCCAACTTCTGCCAAATAGGTAGCGCTTCCCGAGAGTGTCCGCACCACTGGGCGTACATCAGAAGCAGCACATCCTTCTCGTTATCTACAACTAACTCATTGAATGTCTTTCCGACCACTTCTTTGACAACGTTATCACTGTTAAGAGGAATGGATTCGCTCTTAATGTGTGGAATCAAGTCTTTAGTCTTGAATTTATCCACAAATTCACGCAACGAATCGGTTTGTAGTTTGCGATCTAAAACATACAGCACTTCATCCGAGTCTTCGGCGATCACAATGGGTTGTGACTGAAGTGTTGTCTCCCAATCAAACTCGAGGCCATAGTCGGCGAGTTGTTGGCGAAACTGATCCACGTCTGAGACGGCGAATGAGATATCTTTGTGATCATTAGACACAATTTGCATTCGGTTTCGCCAATACTTATTCAGATTGGAAGTGCTCTTTGATTGGTATTCATAGTAAGCGACAATCATTGGTCTCTTCAGTCCCATGTAATTGTCTTTTGTCCGGTCGATGACATCGCCCTTACCATCGATGGTAAGCGTTGACATTAACAACACTAAAGACAATAATGACATTTTATTTCGTCCACTATTGCTATCGACTATTAATTAAAAGTCAATTACAAATTAGATTTTATTTTGTTTAAGATTTTCTCCAATTAATCAATTATTGAATGATTGAATTGTTTGCCTACAGTTTTGTGGCATAATTAATGCATTTATTGCTTATTAACAATATTTTGTTTATTGCATCTAGAATCTTGTGAAATATGATTTTAAATTCAATTATTTGATAACAAATATGTGATAAATCATTATAATATTTAACTATTTTTGTTAATTAATTATTTTTTCATTTCATTCTTGATATGAAACGTTATAATAAACATGTTGTTCTGATTTGTAATTGTTTAATTATTTTAATATTGATAATTTTTGATGATTTATTAATATTATGATAATATTATTAGGATTTGATGATATATCAAATTAGTTATTATGTTAAATATGTTATCCTAATTAAATAATTAAAATGATTTTTAAAATGTTAGTTATGTTTAATGCAGAATTATTAGTGCATTCTTTGTAAAATTACATTATATTTCTTACAAGTTAGCAAAAATTTAAAAATTTAAAAGTTTTAAAGTTTTAATTGCATAAACAGTAATTAACTAAAGTGATACTTTATAATAATGTGATACCATTTCTACCTGAATGTTAATTTGTTAATGTATACGAATGTAGCATGTTGAATCTACGCAAATACCGTATTTAAAATACAGTACGTAATGCAAGCATAATAAAGAATTAAATTGCTAAATAACTTTATCTTATGATTGTTTTAAATAAAAATTCCAGGTAACCTTTTATTAATTTCTGCAAAAAATAATTATTATTCCATGATAGATCCTTAAATAAGATATATACAAATATAATAAACAACTTAAAAATGATTAGTTATTGATATTAATTCCCAGGACTTATCCAGTTATGATTTAATAATAATTTTATATCTATCATTTATTAGCAATATATAGTTTTTCCCACGCATTTGTGCCAAAAATTCAATAAAAATCTACCATAAAGTTTATTTTTATATTTGAGAATAATGTATAAACAAAAATATTTCATGAGATATGGGAGTGAGTGATGGGAATAAAAAGTTCCAATAAAAAATCCAATAAAAAAAAGTGAGGATTGACTGTAAGTTTAGATCAACCTTAATTAATTGATGTTTTAATGTTGTTTAAGTGTTAAGTGTTTTGGTGTTGTCTATCGATTGCAATGATAAGGCATTTGTAGTCAAATAAATTCCAAACAATACATAAGTAAGCGTTAATTCGCAATGAAATGAATTGAATTAATTAATATGTAATCAATGCCGAAACAACTGAAAGCAAACTCATTACAACATTCACAACACAATTGGTATATAAGGATAGCAGTTGTCATTATTATTGTTTGTTATTTAATCCTAGCTCTTATTGAGAATTAAATAAGTTGTAGGAAATGTTAAAAGTTTGCAAAATTGTGAAAGTGTTATCTAAAAGTTTTATTATTATAATAAAGTTTTTATAGTTAATCGCTATAATGTCTCAGCGATTATCAAACCTGACAATCAAAGGATTAATAAGAGATGATTCCACTGACAGTTCCATCGATTCCGGCAATTATGACTGCATCAGTGCTATGGACGACACGCCTCGACTCGAACACTATCTCAAGACATTTGATTTCAATCACGTCGAGAGACCCAGTGTTCAGCAGTTGCATCAAAATCCCAACATTTACTCTATAATTGTAAGAAATGTCAAAATTATTAAAATGATTATTTTATTAATTGATATTTTGAATGCATATTAGGATTCAATTAATATAGAAATCAGTCCTAAAGTTGAAAAAACTGAAAGCTTTGTTGAAGTGGACGAGAAAGACAAATATGGATACTTTACAATGGTTTACGTAAGATATCATTGCATTTGCCATACAATTCAATGACAATTTAATTATCTATTGTGCGAACAGATCCCGCAGTTTATGAATCTCTTGGGCACCGCGTTTTTTATTCAGTCCAGTATTATGGCCGCCCAATCGGGTCTTAGTTAGTACTTATCAATGTACTCAATGTCCAGTTTCTATAACCTTATTATTTATAACCGTTGTTTAGTCCTGTCTTTGATTATGATCATTGTTGGATCAGTTATACTTTGCGGTACCGTTCTGTCCATATCAACGCTGGTGACCAACGGTCACGTGGGTTTGGGCGGTCTTTATTACTTAATATCCAGAAACTTAGGGCCAGAAATCGGTACCGTTTTTGGGATCGTATACTTCCTAACGAACGCTATTATGGTTTCGTTGAGTATAAGCGGGAATTCAATTGTTATCGACAATATTTTACAGGTATTTTCACTTCATTTCAAAATCGGTTTCTTAATTGTCATAATTTATTAAAATGTATTAAAATATAATTAATATTCAGAATTTAGACATGCAAATAGTGCCAAACGCCTCGAGTTTAAATAATCAACGAGTGATCGGCGTATTAACACTTATAATCGTCGCAATCATACCATTCATTAGTCTGGATTTTGAAGCTAAAGTGAGACACAATCAGATAAATAACTTTATTAATTATAGAATAAATAAATAAATATCATATAACAAAACAATTGCATATCATTTCAGACGCAATGGTTTCTGTTTGTGATTGTAATGATATCAATGTTAGACTTTATTGTCGGTGCGTTTCTGCCGTCAACTCCTTATCAAATGGTGAACGGAGTCGTCGGTTGGAATGACACGTGTTTTAAGACCAATCTATTGCCGCAATGGAGTGGACAGACATTCTTCTCCGTATTCTCAGTCTATTTGTCCGGACTTTGCGGCGACTTTACGGGAGTCACTCTCGCATCGAGTCTCAGAAATCGTATGAAATTATATTTTATTTTTGCAATCAATAAACTTTATACTGTAATATCCTATATTCAATTCATTACACCATAAGTTCTTTGTATTATAACTTCAAAATCACTATTGTTTTAACTGTAAATAGTTTAACGACTCATTAACGACATGTTTTCTTTTCATTAAAATAATGAGTTTGTTTTGTCAAGTATATTAAAATGCGATATAATTTGCAGCAAAAGTTGCGATACCCAAGGGATCACTATTGGGAATATTGACCACGCAATCGGTTTATGTTATACAAATGATTTGGTTTACATCGGGAACTAATCGATACGCCACCGGAAATATAGCCGATTATCAGTATAATAACTATACGTGTACTTTGCAACAGAACTGTTCCAGTGGTTCCAGTAATAACCCATACACTATGCAAGTGATGTCATCGCTCACCCAAATAGGCGACAGAACCCATTATATTGAGCCCCTATACTCGGCCGGACTCTTATCTCAATCACTATCCTCTGCGATGATTGCCTTCATAAGTG